GGAGTGGCATGATGACTTATAGAGACATTAGAGTGCCAAGCTAGAACCAAAATGAGCCCCAGTATCTGTCTGCCTGTCCTCTGCTCACAGGTGTTCTGAGAATCATCACATCTGTAATTTGTTTTCCACAGGTCTGTATATCCTGAGAGGCACAGGAGCCCCAAGGTGCTTCCATGGGACATCAGCAGTGTGAGCGGTGCTCAGTCTGGGGACCTGACATGTGGCAGTGTGTTCTCAGCCATGGGGCCAAGTGAGGAAGCTGCTTGAGGGCCATCGCACTGTTTTGGTCTTCAGTCTTTTACTCTCTCTGTGGGACTGACGTAACCTGTTTGTGCAGCAATGTTCTAACTTCAAATGAGACAAATATATCTGAAATTGCTTTGGAAAACTAAAGTCCTTACAGAATGCAAATAGACTAGTAAGTGAATGAAATGAAAAAAAATATATTTCCTCCAAAATATCTGATTTTGTTGTGTTCATTACAAATATCTTCACGTATTTTCAAAGAATATTATTCCTACTTTAAAACTGCTACATGTGATTCTGTTGGACCACAAATTTTAATAAAGAAAATCTTAAACTGACATTACTTATATAGATACCAAAATTTAAATAAAGTAGTAACGTACAAAATTTAAGAGAAGACAACAATTACATAAGTTATCTATTAAGAATGAGAAGTCAGTATAGAACTGCAGAATAAAGGAGGTTTGTGAATAAAAGTGCTTAATTAAAACTTTCTTTGTCATTTTTCTTCTATAGACGAGGAGTCAAATACTTAGTTTCTCAACCGTCAGTGGCCGTGAGAGCTCTCTAGGTTCCTGGGGTGGGGAGAATGACAAGAAGAACAAAATAAAGATAGAGATAGAAAGCTGGGATTAGATGGAGCCCTTCTCCAGATGGGAAGAGGAGACTGCTCAGCCACTGCAATGCATTTATTTGTACACTTGTCACACCACACCCCTTTGCTTAACCAGCTCACTTCTTATGCCCAGTGTTCTTGGGGCTGGAACACCTGTTCTCCTCCAGAACCCCGCTCCCTCGGGGTGTTTATCATGTACTCCGTGCCCTTGGGAATTCCTGTTCAGTCATTTGTGCTTTTGGCTCCACGTGTGTGAACTATTACTAGCTCAGCAGCTGCCAATACTCAGTCTGTGTAATTTATATTTTAGAATGGACATTAGTAAGATAGTTTTCAAGTGATGATTGAATCAGATAATACATGTTAAGTATTAAAAATAGCATCTCTCCGGGCTGGGGATTTAGCTCAGTGGCATAAGCGCCTGCCTTGCAAGCAGGCAGTCGTGAGTTTGATCCCTGGTACCGATAAAAAGGAAAAAGGAAAAAAATAACACCTCTCTGTAGTAAACTGTTAAGACTTACTTACTGCTCATGCAAAGGAAGCCTACCACAAAACAAGATAAATATTTTTGTTCTTACATTACGCATCAAGTGCTTTGTAATCTTATATACAAATACCAAAGAAATACTTCAAAGTAAAAACATCTCAAATGAGACAAGAAAAGTAATTTCTAAAATATCATAAATAAATATAAAACAAGAAAATCTATACTACTAGTAATAAGAAAGCATTAGAAAAATCCCTAATAAAACAAAATCAGTGTATTGTGTCAACTACACAGGAGATGGAGGCAAGAGTATCACCTGAGCACAAGAGTTCACAGTCAGACAGACTGTCAATCTTGTCCCAAACAGCAGCACAAAGATTAAAAGTGCCATCAGGGATTTAGTTCAGTGATGTAATGTGCCTGCCTGGCAAGCATGAGGTTGTGGGTTTAATCTTACCAAACCAAACCAAACCAAACCAAACACCTAAAATAAAAGTACCCATTATTAACATGTAAAATTCTGCATTAGATATTCTTTTTTATTTAAAGAAAGAAAAGAAAATTTAAACAACAAAATAGAAAAAAGTAGAATACAGAATTGAAAAAAATTAACATCATAAAATTGCTGGTTGATACATTACATATTGTCATGCTAACAATAGTTGTTAAAGTTACAAAATCAAAACATAAAAAGTGGCTAGGTACTCAAATATTGACAGTGCAAACTCTTCTGTTCAATGATATAACAGAAATTTAGTAATATCATCTATCTTATACACTATACATGCTGTTATATCCTTTAGAGCATTTTCCTTCCCTTTTACTTTTACAGTATCTATTATAATTTTTGGATCCCATTATTCTGTCAGTTATTATTATTTTTTACATTAGAGACACAATGTGACATTACTAATGTGAGTCTTGTTTATTTCACTAATGAGGATATTCTCGTTTCCTCCATTTATCTATAAAGACTTTTTATAGCTGAATAGTATTCCATTGTATAAATATACTACATTTTTTTCATCTACTCTGCGCTTGATGGGCACTTTTGTTGTTTCCAAGATTTAGTTATCACAAACTGTACTGCTATAAACATGGGTGCACATATCACTGTGACATGACATTTTCAATTTTTTATGGGAAAATAGCCAGAAGAAGAGTAACTGGATTGAATGGAACTTTCAATCCTAGTCTTCAGAGAAATCTCCACACTGATTTCCATAGTGGCTCCACCAGTTTACACTCCCACCAATAGTAGAGCAGTGTGTCTTTCCCCCCCGCAGCCTCACCTACATTTTTTATCATTTGATATCTTGATGGCAGCTACTCTTTCTGGAGTAAGATGAAATCTTAATGCTGTTTTAATTTGCATTTATTAAATGACTAATGATGGTGAACTTTTCTTCATGTATATATTTGCCATTTGTATATCTTCATCTGAGAACTGTGGGTTCATCTCAGATGCCCATTTTTGCAGAAGGTCTTTGCATTTGGGGGGTTGATGTTTTCAATTCTTTATATGTTCTGGATATAAGTCCTTTGTCTGAGGGGCTGCTGGCTAAAATTCTTATTCTCATTTTGTGTGTTTTCTTTTCACTCTGTTGGTGATATCTTTTCTTTTCTTTTTTTATCAGTACCAGGGATCAAACTCACGACCGCCTGCTTGCAAGGCAGGTGCTTATGCCTCTGAACTAAATCTCCAGCCTCTGTTGGTGATTTCTTTTGAAGTACAAAATCTTTTCAATAATATAAGATCCCAGTTGTTGATTCTTTGAAGTGTTTCCCATGCAGTTTGAGTTTTGGTCATGAATTCTCTGCCTATCCCTATGTCTCCAAGACTTCTACCTACCTTGTCTCTCAGTAAATTTAGTTTTTCTGTTTTAATATTTAGATTTTAATACATTTAGACTTTAGTTTTGTGCATGGTGATAGGCATGGGTCTAGTTTCAGTCTTCAGCATGTGGAGAGCCAATTTTTCCAACACGATTTATTAAAGAGGTTATCGTTCTTCCAGTGAACATGTTTAGCCCCTTTGTCAAATATCAGGTGGATGGATGTCTTTGTAGTTGTGTTTGCATCTTCTAATCTGTTCCATTGGTTCTGAGGTCTGTTTCTTTGCCAGTATCATACTGATTTTACCATTGTGGCTTTTGTAGTATAGTTTCAAGTCAGGAATTGAGATGCCTCCTGTCTTCCCTTTGTTGGCCAGAATGGCCTTTGCTATTCTAGGTTTCTTCTGGTTCCAGATGAATTTTAGGAATATTTTCTCTAGATTTGTGAGATATGTTAATGTCATCGTGATTGGGATTGCATTAAATCTGTATAACAGTTTTGGGAGTATGGCCATTTTTACAATGTTGGTTCTTCCTAACTAAGAGCAAGGAATATCTTTCCATTTTCTAATATCCTCTTCAATCTCCTTTTTTAGAGTAGTATAATTTTCAGCACATAGGTCTTTTACATTCTTGTTAGGTTGATTCCTAGGTATTTCATTCTTTAGGTGCTATTGTGAAAGGCAATATTTCCATAATTTCTCTCTTGGTGAGTGTTTTGTTTGTGTGCAGCAATGCTGTTGATTTTTGAGTGTTGACTTTGTATCCAGCTACTCTGCTGAATTTGTTTATTACCTGTAGTAGTATTTTAATGGAGTTTTTGTGGTCTTCTATGTAAAGTATCATGCCATCCTCAAATAGTGATAATTTAAGTTCTTCCTTTCCTATCTTTATTCCTTTTATTTCTCTCTCTTGTCTGATTGCCCTGACTAAGTGTTTCCAGAACTATATTGAATAGAAATGGTGATAGTGGACATCCTTGTCTTATTCCTGACTTTAGAGTGAAGGCTTTCAGTTTTTGTCCATTGAGTATAAAGTTTGCATTAGATATTCTTATATGAAAAGGAAACTAAATGACTAGCAATACAAAGAGAAAAAATGTTATTTGAGATAGTTTACTTAACTAGAAAAAAATAAATCTGGACAATAAGCAATGTATTAAGACATACTAACAAAAGTAAACAGTAATAGAAAAGTATTTGAAGATCAATTTCATTCAAGTTAATTAAAATTTCTAAATAAAAATCATAAAAATTCTAGGTAAAAAGATAAATGGAAGATATCTCAGACAGGTGGGCCTAAAGGAAGGATTAATTTTATTAGATAGCGCTGTATCTAGTATAGATATTATTATCTAGTATAGATATTATCTGTATAAATATTATTATCCCTTGAAAAACAGCAGAATATTTTAATAAACTAGATGAAATAATTTTAAATTGTTTAGAAAAATAGTGAACAAAATGTCAAGGATAATTTGAATGCTTTGATGAGGATTAGGTATAAGGATTCAAGAAGACAAATAGCACAATATAGAACAATTACCATCAGCTTGTACCACTCAAGTCTCTCTCTAAAACTCTGAAAACAAACCATGAACTGCAGTTACTTGGCTCATGGTGATTTCTGAAAACCCTCCTCTGTTCCAACTCTCTTCAGTCTGCCATTTACCCAGCAACAGAATACATCAGCTCTATTGCTTCTCTGATTGGTTAGGGCTAACTATGCTGCTTCTTCCCATCTCTTTGGCTATTGTCAGGCTGTAGAAGACTCAGTTTCAGAGCTCTTCTCTGTTCACTCCCTGCCTCTGGACCTCTTCACTGTTTCTTTCCTCTAAGTTGTCAATTATAAACCCCTCACTTTCCCCTAAGGAAAGAATGTTCCAGAACAAAGCTGTGATCCTGAGCACCCTCTCCTTGACTTTTCTGCTGAGTCTCCAAGGAGCTGAGGCCATCAAGGGTGAGTGCTGAGAAGGTGGGAGAGGTGAGGGAAGGAAGCCAGCTAATTGCTTAGGAGACTTTAGGGAATTTATTATTTTCCTCCAAATTATTTTTCTCTGTTTCCTCAGGTGACGTTTGTCTTTGTCCCCTTTAACAATGGCCATTAGAGAGAAATTCCAATTTTCTAGGTATCTATTTCAATTGATTACATTTATGTCTTCTAAGAACATTGAATGAAAATACTATTCACTCCACTTTAGAGATTAAAACACTAACACCAAGAAGATCATTACATTAGCCAAATTAGTACCACAGGTCCATAGGCAGAGGTGCAAATCCAGATTGGGTTCTGAAGCTCTGCATCCCCAGACTTCTCCACACAATGACTTCCTATCAGAACCCTGTTGGGACCTTACACCCCCATCTGTCTGCTTTGTGTGGCTGCATTTGAGTGACCTGGAGGTAAGGGTTTCCTGTATCACAACCTAAGGGAGAGAGTTCTAAGAGACCTCCTATATTTGTTCCTCTCTCTCAAGTTCCTAAGTCTCTCCCAGGATCTTTGCAGCTGGTTTTCATACCTTCTTGTCTCAAGACAGCAGTTTTTCCCTGTTTTGTTAACCTTGTAATCTGGGTCATGAGAGACCCAGGGGGCAGTGACTGCCACCAGAGTTCCAGACTTTGGATAACCACAGGTTCAGCAGGGCATTGTAAGTCATGATAATGCTCTTTTTTCCCTGCTGTAGGCTTCAGATATCAAGTTGTATGTGATGGTGTCATCTAAAAAAATATATAATAATGTGAAGGATTAGAATTCATAACATAAAAGATGCACCTTGGCTCCCAGAGCATTTAATTTAAAGTGGGAGTCTAGGCATAAATAGAACTGAAGAGGAAGTGGGATGACAGAGAAGTAGAAGTACCTCATGTCCTGCTAAAAGTCCTTGGGTTATTTATAATGTTGTCTAACAAATTTCACAGTGAACCTATCTTCATGCAGATATGAAGGTGACTTGGGTTCATGATGTATATTACTAATTAATTCAGGACTGTCTTTCTTGCTCTGCTCCCTCCCCGACAACATAGAAATATGTTTGTTACCTTAAAAACACAAAACATGAACTTATTACAAAAACCCTTTCCTTCACTTTGCACTCTGCACTGGGGATATTTTTCCTTTTCCTCATAGCTAAGCTGACTTCTGTCTCCAGTGTGTCCTGAGGACCCTCTGTCTTGACCATCGGTAATGCTGTAGGAGATTAAATCTGGTGTGTGCTCTCCCAGGTTTCTCTGACTTGAGTCATCAATAATGTTTCTCTGCAATTCACTTCTTGCTTTCTTATTGGAACAATGTTTAATGCTCTTGTAATGTGCTCTATCCTTATTTTTCACGTACCTCTGAATCCATAGTTCTTTGAAAATGCTTTTTAGTTCACTAAGAAATCTTCCTGGAGAGCTTGTCTGTCTTTGTGTTACCCTTTTTCTTGAATATGATTGCTCGGAAGTGAGGAGGAATTGCTATGAGAGCTCATTCGCACTGTCATTGTATATAATCACAGATGGATCCCTACAAGTTGGACTGCAAACCCACAGGGAAACCCAGGAGTTAGGAGGTGAGGCCAAGGAAGCCCTGATGTCCCCTTTTATTCATACTTACCTGTCACTCTAAGCCTAGAAACTCACATATATTCATTGTTTTATTTAAAGATGATAGTTTATTTTATTCTAACTTTGCTGTTTACTATAAAGTTATAAACTGAGAAACAAATATTAAGTCTCTCAGACCATCCAAACTCAGCAATACTTACAATTCTACTTAAAATAAAAATTAAAGAAGAAAGATTAAAATGAATGTTAAATTACATGTACTATGTGTTTGAATATTATGTGCCGAAAACAAAAAATATGAAGAAAGCTATGCATGCTGCAGGTTCACATTTATAAACAAAACAGAAACCTGAAGATAATAAAGAGTAATAAAATTGAAGAATTTTCTTTTTGTGATACTGGGAATTGAACACACTGAGCTACAACCCCAGCCATTTCTAAAATTTCTTTTAAAAATTTTATTTTAAAGAGAATAAAACCTAATAAAATAAAACAGGATAAAGCCACTAAAAACAAAACATTGAAAGTGATACAGAATTTCAAAACAGGATAATAGGAAATTAACAATGGCTACCATAATGCCTTTCGTTACCTTTAAAATTGCTGCCCATACCATCAGATAGTAAAATCAAATAGAACAGAATTAAACCAATCAAGAAAGAACATTGAATATAACAGAAATAAGTAAAATGGAACAAGAACAAAAAAGTGAGAACAATATTAAATTTCAAACATAAGGAAATCCTCCAAGTTGCCATATTGCATACTGTTATCCTCTTAATAGATGCTCAGACTACCAACTTTAGGCCTGTAAAGTCAATCAAACAATAAAAGCATTAAGTTGTTTTAGTACCTCAGTTGCTATCAACTCAGACTGTCTTCTGAATCAGCTGATTGCTTCCAGGGTGGGGGTATGGTGTTCTTCACTCTCAGGCCCCACACCAGTTGGCTTACAGGAAGGGCAAAGTGGCTTTTTGTTACCCCTCACAGGTCCAGTATGGCTTCTGCCACTCACAGAAAGAGCAAATTGGCTTGTTTCTCTTCTTGGGTTCTGCATGGTTTGCCAGAGTGACCAGTTTTGAAAAGAAAATGCTGTCAACAGTAACCAAATATTTGGAAGTTTTAGTCCTTGCATGGTCTGCACCATGATGGAAGAGTCCACTGAGGAAAACTGCTTACATGCCCCAGTCATTTTGATCTATTTTTGAAACATGATCTTCATCAGTGGCTAAATTGTTCAGGCTGGGCTTAGGTTCTCAATCTTCCTGTCTTAGCTTCCCAGAGTGATGGGATTATTGGTATTTACCATCATGCTCCACTTCTGAAGAAAATTTTCTTCTCTCTCAATCTACTTTTCTTTCTTTTTTGTAATGAATACAATAATATTCCTTTTTCTCCTCTCAAGATTCTAAAAACAATTTTACATCTATGGCCCTAGAAGCATTGAGAGTTTCTGAAGAGAAAGAAAAAAAGAGAGAGAGAAACTATTTTTGCACACAGCTGTGTGACATTAAGCAAGTAACTCAATCAGTCTGCATGACCTCATTTGAAAAATATGTCAGGTATTTGCTTCAAAAATTTATGGAAACAATTAAATGAGTAAAATACATAAGGTATTTAGGAAGGTGCTGAGAACACAGTATGTGCTTAACAAATGTTCCTAGTCACTGTTGTTCTTATTCCTCTGCACAACTGGTACTCAGATTTTTTTTTTTTTTTTTTTTTTTTTTTTTTTTTTTTTTGGTACTGAAGATTGAACTCATGACCTGGTGCTGCCCAAACAGAGGCTTATGGCACTGAGCTAAGTTCCCAGCCTCAACTCTGTAGAGTTGGAAAATTCATGTTTTGAGGGCTCAAGTAGCAGCTGGAATGTTTGCTGCTCCTCTTCTCCTTTGGTTCCTCCCCCATTTTATGAGCTTCTCTGGTCTCCTTTACAGTCTCTTTTTGCTGTTATTCTTTCTTCTTCCAAGTTTGCATCCTTTGATATCTTCCCTTTTGCATTTTATATTAATAAATCTTTATTCCATGCATACACTACTTACATACTGTTTTTAAAATTTCATCACATTTTTCTCTACTTTCTTTATGCAGCGGACCATGTGTCAACTTATGCTCAGTTTGTGCAGATGCAGAGACCGTCAGGGGAGTATATGTTTGAGCTCGATGAGGATGAGCAGTTCTATGTGGATCTGGACAAGAGGCAGACAGTCTGGCGGCTGCCCGAGTTTGGGCAAGCCTTTGCCTTTGATGCTCAGGGCGCGCTGAGTGACATTGCCATACTGAAGAACAACTTGAACAATCTCATCCGGCGATCCAACCACACCCAGGCCCCCAGTGGTAATGGCCACCTTTGATTCTTCCTGTCTGTTACCCAGCTGGGAAGGGACAAGAGGGTTACTCCACCACTCACAGAGTGGGAGACCTAGGTGCTAACTGCTGAATGGCCATGGGTTCACTCCAGTGCAGCTGAGTGCCTTCATTGTTACTCAGGAGAAGGGGTGACCTGAGTGAGGTCAATCAGTGGAGTTAGCCTGGCTTCCCTGAGACAGATGAAACCCAAGGTGGGAGCCTCTGTGATTCATCCCAAAACATGGTGCTCACCAGGTTTTGTCCTCTCTTAGATCCTCCCGAGGTGACCGTGTTTCCCAAGGAGCCTGTGGAGCTGGGCGAGCCCAACACCCTCATCTGCCATGTGGACAAGTTCTTCCCGCCCGTGCTCAATGTCACGTGGCTGCGGAATGGGCAGCCAGTCACGGAGGGAGCTTCTGAGAGCATCTTCCTGCCTCGCACAGACTACAGTTTCCAGAAGCTCCACTACCTGACCTTCCTTCCCAACACCGAGGATGTCTATGACTGCAAGGTGGAGCACTGGGGCCTGGATGAGCCGTATCTCAAGCACTGGGGTACGGAGCCTCATTTCCCCTCTGGGACCTCAGTTCCCAGGGTCCGGGGTCTCAGATTCCCTCTCCCCTTACCCTAATGTGCCATCAGATGATCTGTGACCTTCACCCTCCACAGGCACCCAGGCCAGCCCCATCGCTAATGCACATCTTGACCCCAAATCTTCATCTTTCCACAGAGCCCCAGGAGCCCGTCCAGGTCACAGAGACAACAGAGACTGTGGTCTGTGCCCTGGGCCTGGTGGTGGGCCTGGTGGGCATCATTGTGGGCACCGTGCTCATCATCAGGGCTCTGCATTCCACTCGGCACCCCCGAGCCCAGGGGCCCCTGTGAGTTATTATGAAGCTGGGGATCTTAGGACACAGAGGAAAGGAATGGGGAGGGGACCTGATATTTGTTATATTAAAAGAAAGGAAGAAAAGCTCTATTTGATAAAGTAGACATTGATCTCTTACTGTATTAACAGCAGAGAGCTGCATAACCATAAAAATGTTAATTTTTTAAGTACTTCCTATGCTTAGGTGTCGATGTCGCTTCTGGCCGGCAGGAAGGACACACGACAAAGTCTGGCAGTGGACAACCTTTTTTTTTATTTTCCTTCTCCGTACAGCCTGCCCTGGGATCGCTCCCAGCCGAAGCCTCCTTTGGTCCGCTCCCCGCGGCTCCTTCTGGGCTTCTACTTTTGGGCTTCTTCTTCCCCCCAGGGGTGGCACCAGTATATATACGGATACAGTGTCCAATCATGTTAAAGTAAGCAAGGCAAGCTGATTGGCTAACATCATCAGTTGCCAGGCAGACTATATTGTTGAGCGGGTTGCTTACGCGGTAAGCAGGAAACTAACGTGCTCGATGGGAGGGGTAATCTACCTCAGGCTTTACTCTTTATTACAGGCCTCACGTTCGCCAAGTGAGGCGACCGGGCTCGGGGCTGCGGCTCCCAACATCTCCCCCTTTTTTATTTTTTATGAATGTGCGCATCGTAGCCCTTCCTGGACTGGGTGCAGAGGCTTATGCCCTATGTGTAGGCCCACCGTAGGTCCTTGGCTTAGACCCTGGTCGGCCGTCCCATGGTCCGCCAAGGCCCTGAGGCCCTCGTCCTTTTTCTAGGGCCAGGCACAAACTGGACGGAACCTGGATGCACACAAGCTTGCACTCATTTTCTCTCCGTAAAGAAATCCCCTCGGAGAGAAATTTAGACCTGGGCAGCATCTAACAGTCCAGCGGCCTACGTGCAGAATGGGGTAGGGCCTGGCTTAGGTTGAGTCGCACCGGGGGAGTACGCTCTTACCCGTCATTGACTCTCCTACCCAGCTATGTCATAATTTTTTAGAGGAGGAGTGTGGGAAGCTCACCGTCCCTAGACTCGGTCGTAGGCTAGGTGAGCGAGCCATGCATATGCCTGAGGATCTTCTTGTCCATTTCGGGCTACCGCTATTTCTATTCATCTTGTTGGTTGGTCTGTGATGGATCTCCGGTAGGGCAGGTCTGATCTTCAGTCGAGGGCTTTGTTGCCCGTGTCAGTCTCTCCGGTACCCACAGTGGTTCTCGTCCCGATTCCTGTGGGAAAACACAAACCGCGCCTCGGTTCCAGCTGACCACTGGATCCGGGCCCATCCATTGTCCTGTCAGGACATCTTTCCACTTCACCCACCCTTTATGGTTGGGGGAAGGGTTGCAGTGCTCCACGGCTGGGGAGCAATTATCATTATTTAAATTTAAAAAATTGTGTGTGAATAGTGCCATGGATAATCGTGCCTTTGGGGCCAGGCCTTGGCCTACTCCCCCTTTTTGTTTTTGTAAAATTTCTTTGAGGCTTCTATGAGCCCTCTCAATGATTCCTTGACCTTGGGGATTGTATGGGATACCATGTTTTAATTGAACCTCCATCATTTTGCAGAACTCATTGAAGGCTTTGCCTATATAGGCTGGTCCATTATCAGTTTTTAATATTTTTGGTTTGCCCCATGCGGCCCAAGCCGCCAGGCAATGATTGATCACATTAGACACTTTTTCACCTGTTTCTGCTGTTGCGAATATGACGTGAGAACAGGTGTCTGTGGAAACATGAACATATTTAAGAGTCCCAAACTCCTGTATATGTGTGATGTCCATCTGCCAAACATCACCAGGGATCAAACCTCGAGGGTTTACTCCCATCGGTATGGCAGGTTTGTATGTGGCACAGGAGTCACATAGTCGCAGGATATCTCGTGCATCTGCTCTGGAAACATGGAAATGGTTTGCTAGTGTCCTGGCATTGACATGAAACTTATCATGGAAGGCACGGGCTCGCTCGATTGGTGTTAGTAAGGTAAAAATCCATAACGGGCGAGTGGCAGTATCAGCAGCCGCATTCCCCTGTGCCATAGGCCCTGGAAGAGATGTATGTGCTCTTATGTGGGTGGTGAAGACCTTATGGTGTCTGTTCTGAAGCAATGTCTGGATAGACAGGAACAGCCCAGCCACTGTGGAAGTGGATCTAATTAAACCGGCAGTCTCAAGCACTTGCATAGCATTGACCACATACCTAGAATCGGAGACAATATTAATGGCTTCTGAGAACCGTTCAAGAATCATTTTAACGATCTGCAGTTCTACCACCTGAGTTGACGGCTTAATGTGTCCTAATCTAAGTTGTGTACTGACTATTTCTGACAAGGCTAATAGCTTCTCCTTAGGCAGGGGCCACTGAGGTACCCAAACCGGATCATTTGACCTCCAGGTGATTTTGATCGAAGTGGGTAGGAGAGCTTCTTCAGCGGCCCCTAAGAAAAACCCAGCCCTTGTCTATCTTTTTTGTTCTCTACTGGTATTGGGGATGTCCGACCCTGTAGGGCATTGCCCAAGCCTTTGCTGGGGGTATATCCCTGGTTCCTGAGTATATCCTTAGCCTGGGGGGAGCAGTTTGACGTAAGCGTGACATCCATCTGAGTGAGGATGTCCCTTCCCCATAGAGACACTGGCAACTGCAACACAAATGGTTGGAAATGGCCCTGATGACCCTCCTCATCGCACCAGAGCAGGGTTGAAGCACTAACCTGAGGAGCTGACACCATCCCCAGGCCCTGCAGCGTGTTATCTGCAGTGTTGGTGGGCCAGTTGGAGGGCCAATCCTTTCTAGAGATAATGGAATGGTCAGCTCCTGTGTCTAGGAGCCCTGTTATATTCTTGCCATTGACCTTAAGTGAGAGCATGGGCCTTTTATCAAGTATTATATGGAGTCCCTCGAAGACTTCCCCTGAGGAACCGAAACCTTGACTTTCTCTAATTTTCTGCTTTGAGGGAAATCTCTTGTGGAGACTGGGGAGCAGCAAGAGCTGTGCTATCTTGTCTCCTTTATTGATTACCATAGTACCCACAAGAGATTGAACCATAATTTTAATGTGTCCTGTGTAGTCTGAGTCTATGACCCCCGGGACTACTATGAGACCCCGAAGGGCCGTGGAGGATCTCCCGATCACCAGACCCACGGAATTTTCGGGTAACGGTCCCTTAAAGGTGGTTTCAACCACTTGAACACCCATATCAGGCACCAATATAAGTCTGGAGGCGACACTGAGGTCCACACCTGCTGACCCAGGGGTGGCCCTTGTTGAAGGCTGCCATCCTGAGCTGTCCTGTCTCTGGGGCGGGGGCCCGCCTGTGAAGGGGGCCCCCTCTGGCCGTTTTTTGGCCCTCTAGCATCTCGTCCACAAATACGGTTGCCCTGAGCATCAAAGACCGACCTACACTCCTCAGCTTTGTGTGATCCCCTCTTGCATCGCCCACAAACATATGGTTCTTCATTCCTAGGGCGAGGCCTAGCATCTGCATTGTTTGGGCAATGACGTTTAATGTGTCCTGGCTCCCCGCAGGCAAAACACCCTTTAGCCTTACATTCCCCTTCTAACCCGCGAGGTCCCCTCTGCTGTACAGCCGCGGCCAGGAGAGCAGCCACTCCCGAGTTGGAGAGTGGCCCCCCTATCTCTCTGCATATCCTAATCCAGGCGTTGAGGTCCTTGTTCTTATGAGGAGCTATCGCTGTCTTGCACTCCTTTGTATATTGCTCAAAAATCAGCTGCCTTACCAGCGGTCGAGCCACTCCCGGATCAGAAAATATCTTATCGGCAGCATCTTGCATTCGGGCCACAAAGTCAACAAATGGCTCTGTGGTACCCTGAATTATTTTTGAAAGACACAAGGAGGCTGTTCCGGCACCACTTACCTGCTTCCAGGCGCGGAGCCCTATGGCATTGATTTGTTCATAGACAGCGCCTGGGAACTGAGTCTGATCATCAGCGTGCCGACCTTCTCCCATAAGCATTTCCTTGTTCCACCCCCGGTTTCCCCGATTGGCCTTTCTCTCAGCCTGCTCTGCAGAGAACTCTGCGTACCAGGCTCGCCAATCCAGGTAACTACCCGAGGGCAGACACGCCTTTGCCAGCTGAATCCAGTCCGCGGGGGTGAGGGGCCCAGAAGACAGGTTCTCCAGCATGGCAATGGTGTAAGGCGCAGTCGGCCCAAAGGTTGTAACTGCATTTTTAAGTTCTCTAATCTGCTTTATCTCAAAAGGCTCCCATGCATTACGTCCCTGGCCCATAGCTACTTGTACAGGAAATATCCCGTAGGGGCCACTATCTATCCCAGGTGGTGGATGTACCTCATGAGACAAACGTCCCCCCTGCCAAAGCCGCCTGTAAAAATACCGACCCGCCGGCGGCGGAGCATAAGACGGCGGCCATGATTGGGCGGAAAATGGGGGCCCGTGCATCACTTCCTGTTCTGGCGAAGGGGAAGGGAGCTCCCGGGCGGCCGCCTCGCGGCGAGGGATCGCCTCCGGGAACAGCCCCCAAGGTGGGGCGGAAGGCTTCGCCTCCCTCTCGCGCCGGGGAGCGCTCAGGAGCTCTCTACTCCTCCGCAGACCAAGTTGAGCGGAGTGCAATTCACGGCGCAACGCTGGGAAAGAACCCTGCGACTCCTTATCGAGCGACTTGGGCTCCTGACAGCTGGTCTCTTTGGCCTCCTTGCCATTCAACTTTCCCTCGTCCTCGGAGTCAGACGACTCCGAGGCTAGAGCCCCGTCCTTCTCCTTAGCATCTTTGTTCCCCTTGACAGGCCCCTCTCGGGAGCTCCCTGACTGGGCCTGCTCAAATACCCTGCGTACTTTTGTAAGCTCTTGAGAGCTTTCTCCACAACCACCCTCGCTCTTAGTGTTGCTACCTAGCATGTTTCCCATTTTTTAATATGTTACTCACCGCGTGAGGCCCAAGGAATCCGCCACTTACGCGTGAGCCTGAGGGGAGTCTAAAAGCCCTGTAGGTGCGCGCCACCCAGAGCCCAGGCTTATCCCCAACTCACCTGTCTCGCAGCTCTGTACTGGAGCGTTGTCCGCTGTCACGTCTCGGGGGTGATCAGTCCCCGTGCGGACCGCCAAATGTCGATGTCGCTTCTGGCCGGCAGGAAGGACACACGACAAAGTCTGGCAGTGGACAACCTTTTCTTTTATTTTCCTTCTCCGTACAGCCTGCCCTGGGATCGCTCCCAGCCGAAGCCTCCTTTGGTCCGCTCCCCGCGGCTCCTTCTGGGCTTCTACTTCCGGGCTTCTTCTTCCCCCCCAGGGGTGGCACCAGTATATATACGGATACAGTGTCCAATCATGTTAAAGTAAGCAAGGCAAGCTGATTGGCTAACATCATCAGTTGCCAGGCAGACTATATTGTTGAGCGGGTTGCTTACGCGGTAAGCAGGAAACTAACGTGCTCGATGGGAGGGGTAATCTACCTCAGGCTTTACTCTTTACTACAGGCCTCACGTCCGCCAAGTGAGGCGACCGGGCTCGGGGCTGCGGCTCCCAACACTTAGGTACTATTCTTTGCATTTACATTACCTCATTTTATACTCACAAATAATCTATGTGAGGTAGGTACTGCTACCGTCTTAACAGGCGAGATACTTATATCTTCTTATATACCCTGTGGCATTTAGCAACTAGATCAAGGTCACACACTAGAAAGTTGTGAAGCTGGAATTCAATCCAGGAAGTTTACACCAAAGCTGTTGGCTTTATCATTGTCCTATGCTACTTATTTTATCAGTAAAATGCAAAGTCTGAACTCCACATGAGTCAGATCAGTGTCTACACTCAATCACAACATGGTGTGATAGGCACCTAGTACCATTTGCTATCCCTCTTTGGGTCATTGAGTGGCAAAACTCACACTGCATATTTGTAGTTTTATGTTTCTATAGTTCTTTTCCCATTAGACAGTGATCTTCCTGGGATGATGACATCTTATTTATCATCATCATTATTACTCAAGCTGGACCCCAGGTGCAAAGGGCTGATTCAATCACACCACTTAGTGGATGATTCTGTCATGATGAGCAGCTCCAAGTACTCTCTCTTGTTTTGTTTATTCTATCTTCAGTCTTCACATGCATATCTAAGCTCATCCTCTCTACAGTAAACATTTGAAAAGGTTTGATGAATTTATCTTTATTTGTGTGTACCCTGTAGAACACGTAGTATTATTCAAAATGTATGCTTTTATATAGATTTTATTATAGATCTTTTTGTGTGCATACAGTCTGCTCCTTTCTGCTGTTCCATAGCCTTTTGCTTTGTACACCCACCTGTCTGTTTTCCACCTGGAGAATATGCATTATTTTGATTCTGTGCAGTGTAAGCAAATGTTCGCATCCTCATAGGGACCTGCATTCCTGGAATGTGTTGTGCCCCAGAAGGCCTTGCAGGGTGACTTAAGGCAGGTACACATGGTTCACACACTACCAAAAGAAAAGTAATCAAAGAAAAAAAAGAAATAACAGAGGCAACAGAATGAGGTGAATGTTGTCACATAAGCCAAGGAGATAATTTACAGAAGGAAGGATTATTGTGTGTTCAGATGTTCCACAGAGGCACAGTGAGGAAATATGCATTGGTTTTGAGTCTCTTTCCCAGAGCAGATTGACACAGTGTGAGCAGTGATTCTGCCTTCACAGCCATCATTTCATACTTGAGCTTCCCTGGCCTCAACAGTGTGGCTCTGTCTTTCTGAGGGTGTTTTGGAGACTTAAAGCATGTGGGGAATCTCTCAAGTCAGCCTGGGGTTGAGTGTGGAGTTTGATGTCAGGATGCTCCTTGACTACTGACTGTGGCTCATGTGAAGGACCAGGGCACGTGCAGGGAAAGTCACCTTCTCCCTGGTCTTAAGAATGGCAGAGGAATATGGAAACTAGATATAAAGCAGATAGGAGAGTTGTGTCTGAGCTAGGAGACCTGAACCCAAGGGTGACAGTTGTAACTGTGTGTTGTTGCAAGTGACAAAATTCCAAAAAGAAGATTTCAGAGAATTTGAATTCCAGATGTCCTACAAACTCTAGTCTTGGCTTAATTCTCAACTCCTGTATGCTCTATTTCAATGAGCAACTTACATGAAGACCCTTCAAGTCTATGGCCGTGCTATGCTGAACTTACCTGATCTCGTTTGAAGACTTTTTGAGTCTTCATTTGTGACTTTAAAGCTTTTAATCCTTAGTAAGATTCCCAACAAATAGAAGGCAGTGGATCAGTGTTTATACTGGTGTAGAGATCACTCGTGCACTGGGGTTCATGTCCTTGGGTTTTGTCTGAAAAACTCTTCACTGCTGTCTTCCTGAGAATACTGAAAAATAAATAAATTCTTCAGTATTTCAGAACCAACCGAGTCTGAGTTCTCTTTGCTAAAAATCTTGGGCTGGGTCATATGTGACCAATATTTTATAAAGGTGAGGTTTCAGGTGGCTTATGGATATGATTGCCATAAGTTCTCACTTCATGAGGGTTTAAGGATGTGAGAATTTTAATTTAGACCTGAGTTACCCACTAAATACAAGATGGTTTGGTGAAGGGAGGATATTGGGAGAAATTTTTCTTGGATTATGATTTGATTTGAAGTAGTTTGAAGGCTGAAGTGATTGAATCTCTAAGTGAGAGATTTTGACTGTCTGAGCTGAGATATCAGGCTGATCTGGAGCCATCTACAATTCTTGGGTTTTCTTCCCATGTCTAGATTTTAGTGATTTTTTTCCATGAACATGTTTTTCAAATGATTGTGAGGAACTATGAGCTAACAAAGGAAATAAAAAGTGCCTTCACTCTTTGCAATTTGTAATTATCAGAGCTTAGAATTAAAGATCTGAGAAAAACTGCTGAAAATTGAGTAAAAATATTGAGAGATTTTATTTCTTTTTTAAAGAATGTTTTCTACATGCTAATATGAAAGCATAAGATAGTAAAGATGGAGCCAAATATAAAAGGTTTTTCTATTTTTGTTTTTAAAATTTTTTTAAATTTGAAAATATAACAATTATGACAATATTTTTCTTGTTCATAACATAACTAAGGCAAAACTAATGACAACAACACTGCAAATAAGTCGAGGTAGTATAAATATCATACAAAATGTTTTTGCATATTATTGTTTGAATGTAGAATTATTAACTTAAAGATGAATATTTTAAACAACACAGGAACTACTAATAGCCATGAAGAAGATAAAATGGAATAGTAAGCACAACTTATCAAAAAAAATGAAAGAGTGAAATCATAAAATGGTAGAGTGAAATACAGTGTTAGCAACAATTGAAATAATTGTACCCCAGTTAAACACTAGTTAAAAGGCATAGTTTGTCAAAATACAGAGAAAGTCTAATCCAATTGTATGCTGTCTATATAATCCCAACCTTTCAAATGACAAAAGCAGCAAAAAATACAGAGCCTTTGTGAGAGAAACAGCTCAGATGCTGGTATAACACAGCCTAAAGAGGACCAGGTGGAAGGGAATGAATCCTTAGACTCAGGAAGAAACTAAAGGGAAAAGGGAAAACGTGGACGGAGGACTGCTGCCAGACATACTCTCACTGGAGCTGGTCCCATTGCATACAAAATGCTGCTGGAATCTACATGCCTGGTCGTGGTGAAGTTAGGGGTTGGCAAGTTTGAGGGCCTCAGCAGGACAATGGGGTCACAGAGGGGAGTGGCGGACCAGAGGATGGTGCTTGCCTAAAAGATTTGTACCATCTCCAGGAAAGTGCAGAGAGGTCAATTCTCCCATGGGAGTAGGCAACTGGCTGGGTGACATGTTGGAGTTGGGCAGGTTAAACCCAGAACCAGAATGCAGCAGCTTCAATCAACCACTCCTAGCGCAGAGCAGATTGGTGAGAAGTGCTTGGACTGAGTGCTGTGCCTGTGCATGATCCAAGAGCCAAAGACAAGGTCTCCCTGAAGTTATAGCTAACCATCCCTGTCCACACAGCACATACTAACATAGTGAAGACTCCCAGTGCTTGACCAGCTCAGCAGGGAGGGGCCAGCCTTTACTTCCATGGTCATCAGCAGAATGGAGTAGTCAGTGTACTTCAGAGTAATCATAGCCAACATAGGAAGTGCCGGGGCCCTCCATTTTCCACTCCTCTGGAAGAAATCAGAAACATGACAAGAGGAGGAAACAAAAGGAAGTCTCCAAACCGCAACCCAAGCAATACTGGCCCAGGAAATGTAAACACAGAAGAGATCGGGGGTTGCACACCTGCAGTGCCTAAAAAGCAGCATCTGACATAAAGAATTATCCTGGTGACATTATACAAGAACTTAAAACAGAAATTCTAATACAGGTAAAGGAAGATATAAGAAAAATAATAAAGGAAATGCTAAGTATCTCTCAAGAAGACATGGATTAAAGAATGGAGGGGCACAAAAAAAAGAGGGAAACCTTCAATGAAGAATACAAAAAAAATCTAGAATACATGAAACAAACTCAAAGAGATTACCAGGAAATTAAAAACTCCATTGAAAGCTGGCAAAACTGCTTGAAAGAAACTAAAGATAGACTATCAAACCTCGAAGACAGGTTTACAATGTGTGATCGTGAAAAGAAAGAACTCTGAAAAATAACAAAGAACCGGGAAGTAACAATACAAAGGCTAGAAGATATCAAGAGGATCCATAAGGTAAGAATAAAAGATGTCAGTGAAGAATCAGGGGTAGACACCAATGAAATACAGAGGCTATTTACAGAAATAATTAAAGAGAACTTTCCAAGCATAGGAAAAGGAAATGATATTCAGATATATGTGGCATACAGAACTCCAGCCAGCTATAACTGAAATAGATCTACATCCAGACATATAATAACCAAGATCCCAGAAATTCAACACAAGAACAGAATAGTAAAAACTGTCAGAGAAAAGAAACACAACACCTATAAAGGAAAACCCATCAGAATCATGAGAGACTTCTAGACACAAACCATCAAATCAAGAAGAGCTTGGAGTGAAGTATTCCAAGCACTGAAAGAAAATAACCTCCAACCCAGATTGATGTACCCTAAAAAATTGTGTTTCAAAATTAATGGAGAAACAAGATGCTTCCATGACAAAGAAGAACTGGGGGAGTTCACGACCAACAATTTAACCCTACAAAAAATACTGAAGTACATTCTAGAAAGAGAGAAAAAAAGACCATGGCTTCAGGAATAGTGACGGAGGGAGCTCACTGAATGGGGCAGACAGTGGAATGAAGGGGAAAAGTAGATGAACAACGCCAGAAAAATAGCTGGCAGAGATGAGGCTGAGAAGGCTGGCCATAATTGCTAACATGGATGGCCTAGATACAATAATAAAAAGAAACACAGGAAGAATGGTTCAGGAGATAGGGTCCATCCAGATGCTCTATATAAGCAATATAATCAACCTGGAAGAGGGTTTATAGACTGAAAGTGAAGGATGAGGAAATAACTCTCAATGTGACAGGGAACCAGAAAAATGTGGAGGTGGCTTGCTCTTTAGCTGCAGATTTGTTGGAAAGACATAACACTTTTATATAATGGAGAACTACTTGACTATAAGGAAGGACACCTCGAGGATTTTATAAGTAAATGGATACAACCAGAGACCAAACTAAGGGGTAAAAAGGTTCATTTAAGCAAATAGTGTGTTGCCTCCCTAACCTAAAAACTAAAGAAGTTAATGGGATACAAAATGTACAATGCACCCTGTGAAAGGGAAAGGAGAGGAATTGTTTAAAAAGGGAAGGCAGAGGACATTGTTAATCTTGTATCATGATTTAAAACCCACATTGTTCTCATTGTTGTATTTGGTTATAATCTGTTCCAGTTTGTCTACTTGTGCTAGATTTGAGGGCATAGACAACTATTCCAAAGATATACTGGATATACTATGGTAAACATTTTAAATCTCCTATTAACTTAATCTGAAACCCTGTATTGATTTCACTGCCTTGTTTTGACTGATGTTATTTGAATCTGTCTTGTTCAATTGCTGTCTTGCCTTAACTGATTTTATCCTAATTTGTAATGTTTGATAGTGTCAAGTCTGAGAGTACAGGCAACTACTCTGAAGACAATAAGATTTACTATGATACCCATTCTGGTTTGACTATTATCCTCTTTTGAAGTCCTATAATATCTCCAATGTTTTGTTTTTATTGATTTTATTCTGTACCGTTATGTTCAATTGTATTGTAACTGATGATATGGACAATTCTTTTGAAGATAACAAGAGACACCACGGTAACCATTATAGATCACCTTGTATTGTGATTTTAAATAATGTACTATGTCCATCCTTTTGTTTTCAATGACCCCATTTTTTTCTTTTCTCATTTGGTTTTATTCTTTAAAAATAAAAAATAAACAAATAAATAAAATGAAGAAAAAGATGAGTAGAAAGCTTTTTTTAAAGATGGGAAAATAATGCTAATTGTGGGAATGTTGGAAGCTGTGTTAATGCCAGAAGTATAGAAATTCAGAGAAGGAATCTCATCATGGACAAAGAAAGACAGTTCATGAGTATAGAAAGTAGTCTGTCAAGAGCATATTACAATCCTAAATCACATAGGTGCCTGATTAAAAATGCTTCAAAGCATGTGACACATAAAATAAAAGAAATTCACAGGTATATTTTAATATTCCAGCACAACTGTCTCAGTAGATAGAACAACAAACAACAAAAAATCAGTACATAGATATTTAAATGCCATAATCAACCAATAAATATTATCTGATGACATCTATTCTGTTGTTATACATGACAATAGCAAAATATCCTTTATTTTCAAGTGGACAGAAAATATCCAGATGAGAGGCCCTATTCTGGTCATGAAAATAAATCTCAGGAAATTTAGAAGAGTCGAAACTATATACAATATATTTTTTGATCACTGCAGAATTGAATTGGAAACCAATAACAGGAAAACATCTGGAAAATTCCTGGTATCCAGAAAATGAAAATCAAACTTCTAATTAGCACCTGCCCTATATAAGAGTCACAAAACATTTTGAATTGGATGAAAATGAAAATGTACTATATCAAAATCTGTGTGATATGTAACTGGAGGATAATTTAGAAATTTACAAATGTAGAAAAGAGGAAAACTCTAAAAATCAATGATTTGTGGCTCATTTGTAAGAAGCTAGACAAAAGAGAAGATGGCTGACTAGAGGAGGAGTCATATCAGAGATACTCAGGGAAGATAATGATTTTACACATGTAACAGGCAAAGTGGGGAAGGGATCCATATGATGATATAAAACATTAATTTGAAAAAGATACGTAAAGATCAAGCCAAACATCTGATAGCAGTTAAAAAAAAAAAAGAGGAAGCAGCTCTTCCAGGATCAGTCCAAATGGTCCCACCC